CGCGGAAGACCCATTTCCCGGTGAGAATGGTCTTGTTCCTTGCCACGCTGATGGGGACAACTTTCCAGGTGTTCCGTTCCTCCAGCGCCTTTAACTCTCTGTCCATGGCTTCACGCCATTTTTCCCTGTGTTCCCCCCCCAGAGCCTGCTGAACCGTCGCAGGCTCCTTAGGAAGAGTGTTGCCGTGGACTGCGGTGACGAGTCCGAGAATCTGCAGTCCAGTCTGTGAGTAGCGGGGAAGAGTTGCATCCTCGGGATAAGCTGCTTCATCTCCCGCTTCTGGATCAGGTATGAAATTCGGTCCTACTCGTTCTGCTTCGTTGGTGTTGACTGTCGCAGGTGTTATGTAACCGTTGTCGGCGAAGTAGTAGAAGGTTTCGGCGTTGACACTTTCGCGAGGGTTATCTTCGTCCATGGGGACGTCGACGGAGCAGAACGGAAGGGGTCCAGCTTCTTCTGATGCGTTGGCCACATTCTGCTCGTCCCAGTCAGCTTCGTCTGCTGCCGAGGCGAAGGCTCGGTCACCACGAAAACCACCTGTGGGATCTTGGTCCTCTTGCAGGTTGGCAAGGTATGTCTGGAGCGTGAGTCGTTCGTAGAAAATGACGTCGCGTGCTGCTACTGTTTCCTTGGAGTGGACGTCAAAGATTTTCCACGCGTTGTAGTTCTTTTCGATGCCGAGGTGTAGTCCCCACTGTGCGCGTTGTGAAAATCGGCCCGCTCGTGCTGCTGGGGGTCGGTACTGTACCATGCATCCGAACACTCGTAACATTTTTGTGCTGCCCTGTTTTCCTGTCCACAGCAGATGCGGTGATGCGTTGTTCGGTAGTGATAAAGATGAGAGCAAGTTGTGCAGCATGACAGCGTGGTCCATCGCGTCAGGCCACTGGTGGTTGGGTAGCCGCATGCCACGCAACAGTTTGCGCATGCTGTTCTGCAGAGTCCTGTTCATTCTTTCTGCTACACCTTGCTGCTGATGGGCGTAGGGAAGAGAGAGGAGCTGCTTGATTCCCCTTTCCGCCAGGTACTGCTTGAATCGCTGAGAGGTGTATTCTCCTCCTCCGTCAGACTGGAAGCTTTTCAGCTTTACGCCCGACTCTCTTTCTGCTACTGGTAGCCAAGCAGCGAATGCTTCGAGGACCATGTCGCGGCTGGGTAGGTTTAGATGCCAGACGTAACGGGTGGCGGCGTCGATGAAGGTGATTGTGTAGTTGTATATTACTTGTCCTGGTTCCCGATTGTACAGGATATCGCTATACACCTTTTCGAGTGGTGCGTACGCGGGTGTGCTCGGGTTGTGATGAGGAGTGAACGGCCGATGTGGTAAGTCGGCTTCGGGGCAGGTAAGACATGTTCCTCGTGCCCGTTGAAGTTCTCTGCCGTCGAGTAGTAGTAACGAGTCCTTGTCAAGGACTCCTGCTCTTATTGTGTTGTTTAACACAGTGTTGCTTGGGTGTCCCATGCGTGCGTGCCAGATGTCTTCGGAGGCGCGGTGTCCGGGTGAGCGTCGATACGCGTCGGAGTTGGAGTAGAAGCTGGCGGTGAAGTTTGCGCTTCTATGGACTTCCCGTTGAGCCGGATTCAACTGCTGTGCGGGTGTTGGTGGTGCTTCGTCAACGAGGAGTGGTGTCGTTGTTGCTGCTACTGTTGTTGTTCCTGCTACTGCCGATGATGTCTCTGCTGCTGCCGATGATGTCTCTGCTGCTGCCGATGTTGTCTCTGCTGCTGCCGATGTTGTCTCTGCTGCTGCCGATGTTGTCTCTGCTGCTGCCGATGTTGTCTCTGCTGCTGCCGATGTTGTCTCTGTTGCTGCCGATGTTGTCTCTGCTGCTGCCGAATGTTGTATTGTTACTAACGCACGTGTTCGTTCTGCTTCAGGAATGGTATGTGAATACCAAAAGCCTTCTGGACTGAAGTCGGGGTCGAGATCCGGCGGGTGCGTCCAAGATGTGAAGGTGACGATCCCGTCACTGTCTGCGGTGCCCAGGTCTGGGACGAAATCGAGAACGAAGACATTGTTCTTCAGGACCGCCTTTCCGATGTAGAGGCCGCCCTTCCCGTGGTACAGCTTGAACTCCTGGGTGGTACTGTCGGCTTCCAGATGTATGCCTTTCGCCATCAACTGACTGACGCTCAGTAACTTGTAGCCAAGTCCTTCTGCTATTAGGACTTTGGACATTTGCAGTATGACATTCGTCTCTCGTGACTGAAGTTGCACTACTCCTTGTCGTCGTGTGCGCATGTTCTGATTATTGGCGACAGTGATGACGACTTCTCGTTGAAGTTGGTGCTCGCGTTGAACGAAACGTCCTGAAGAGCACATATGTTGTCCGCAGCAACTGTCCAAGAACCATGTATCCTTCCCGGACGGCTCGCTTTGAGCGATGGCGGCGTACGTCGGGTTGGGTTGAAGTGACTCGCGGCGAGGCGTGCTGTTGTCGAGTTGTTCTTCTGGTGAGTAATATGGTGGTGACTCAGTTACGCAGGAGTCACTCAGCCTTGCCATGCAGCTGACGATGTTTCTTGTTCCTTTCGCAGGTTGTCCCGTCGATGTTGTTGAGACTTGTACTGAAGTTGTCGGATTTGCTTGCGTTGAGGCGACTTGACTGCTTGAAGGGCGAAGTTGGCGTTGCGGCGACGTTGACTGTTGTCGATTCGGGCAGTGCGTACGAGGATGCCCTGAAGTCTTGCAGAGGTGGCAGAACGGAGGTACGATTTTCGGTCGATTGTTGTTGTTGTTGTGGCGCCGTTGAGTGTGAAACGCGAATTCGGGCACTGATACCTTTCTCTTGTGTCGTTCTTCTTGCAGGTCCATGTCTTGCTGCTCGGCGTGGATTTCGGCGCAAAGTGCTGCTTCAGAAATTTTCCCGTGGGCTCGTAGTATGGCGCGAGTGGAGCGCCAGTGAGGACCAAGACCGCCGATGACAACCGTGACGAAGGCGTCCTCTGAAATCGATCCTCCACATCGAAGAAGCTTGTCGCGCAGCTCGCGGCAGCGACTGATATACGCCATTCCCTTCTCGCCTGGTTTCATTTCGATTGTTGTCAGCTGCGCCATTAACCGACTTTGGTTTACGCTGTCTGTTGCTTGATACAGGCTCTTCAAGTGATTGTACGCGAGCTCCGCGGAGTTGCCGTAGCCTCGGTAAGACCGTATGTTTTGTTGTTGAGTTGGAGTGATGTTCCTCAGTAGTATCGTGTACGCCATCATCGATTGATAGGTGTACTGCTGCTTCTCATACTGTGTGCCGTTTGTTGGGTATGGCAGGGACCCGTCGAAGAAGCCAAGGATTTGCGCTCCTTCCATCATCAGCTCGAATTCGAACGACCAGGTAAAGAAATCCTTCTCGTCGAAGGGTTTTGTCGTTTGCAGTTTTAGAACGTGCGCGAACTGCGACTGAACTTGTAGTGCGTCCAGCGTTCTCTCTTGTCCCGGTGCAGGTTGTGGTTGTGGCATGAAGCTGACGGAGCCGCGCTGGGGCTCGTACGGAGCGAAGGTAGGTTGTTGTTGTTGATTCCCGCGTGCGTAGGATGAGCCATCGAGACTCATGGGCGTCACGTTGTTGTTGTTGTTGCTGTTGTTTGATTGCGCAGGTGCTCCTTGCTGATGCTGCTCGTAGAAGGACATGAAGGAGAAGAACTTCTCCATCATGCTTGGATCGAAGCCCGCGCCTTGGTTTGCGGGTGTTTCAGTAGACCCAGCTGCCGGTCTCGTTGTTGTGCCTTCCTCTGTCTGTAGGCCAGAGGCAGGAGGTGGAGTAGGAGTAGTACCAGGAGAGCCGTTGGAGGAGCTCCTCTCCTTTCTGGTAGACATGTCTCTTGGTGTATTAGGTGTTAAGGAGAAATAATTTTAACCCTAACCAGCTCTCATACCATGTTGGGCTGAGTGCCCCTTAGGATCTTTGGTAGGGTTAAACTCTGGGTAGAGTGATGTAGTAGCGGAAGCGTTTAAATGAAGTCCTTGAACCACCTTGCGCTGGTATGTGAGGGCAAAGTAAGTTGATTAAAACAAGCAAGTACAAAGGTTTTATAGTACAAAGAATACGAAGAGATATAATTGAACTGTTTTACTGTTGCGGTTCGATACAGTGCGACTCGGGCAACTGCTCAATGTCGAGTCAGTTGTGTGTCCTTGCTGTCGCGCTGCATTTGTCAAGTCAAAGGTCGCTGACCTTTGACTTTCGCGTAACCTCCAGCGGTTACTTCAACCTCCGAGGGTTGACTCGCTGGTGCCTCGATATGCTCTGCTTCGCTTGTGCCTTGGTGTTTCGACACGACAGAGGCGCTTAAGATTGTTTGTTCCCAACAATTGATACCCCTCACCACCCCTCATCACCGCATCTGCTTGCTCTACATACCCCATAAGGTGCCTTATCGCCCCCCCACCGTCCGCTGCCTCCCCCAACCTCCTGTCAGTCTCCCCTTATGGGACGACTCCAGACGCACCCCCGTAACCCTTCATTGCCGCATGTGCTGGCTCTCGATTTTGCTAGTGTTTAGCTTTACAGTCTTTCCTACATGCTTAAACCGTCTCCTAAACACCGCTGCTCACTGGAACTATGTAAGAAGATGCATCCTCGTAACCCCTCAGCACCGCTCATCACCGCATCTGCTTGCTGAGCTCTACAAACCCCATGAGGTGCGTCATCGCGCGCCCACTATCCACCGCCTCCCGTGCTCTCTCCACCGCTGCTTAGAGTCGACTCAGGACCCATCTCGTCGCCCCATATCACCCCTCTATGCCCATCAGGATCCCTCAACACCCCTTGTCACCCCTCATCACCGCGTCTGCTTGCTCCGCTCCACATACCCTATGAGGTGCTGCAACGCCCGCCCACTATCCACTGCCTCTCTCGCCCTCTCCAATGCTGCTTCCAACCCAATCGCCCTCGCCCCCCACCCCAACCGGTGAGTACTACCACACCAGTGCATCAACCGCAGACCTCTCGCACCTCTTGGGTCGACTGGGAGGCTCCCTCTTCACCCCTCAGCACCGTTCGTCACCGCATCTGCTGGCTGCGCTCCACATACCCCATGAGGTGCCTCATCGCCCGCCCACTGTCCACTGCCTCTCTCGCCCTCTCCACCGCTGCTTCCAGCCCAATCGCCCTCGCCCCCCACCCCAGCAGGTGATCCTGCACCGCTGCATTGAACACTATCCTGTCATATGCCGGTCCTTTCACTCCTCTCAGTGCTTCCAGTCCCAAATCGAGATTCTTCTGTGCCTGTTGGATGAGAGGGACAGAGGGATGGTGACGCAAAGGAGGGAGGGAGGGGAGTTGGACAGCGGGTGAGTGGGACATGCACTGTAGTAATCCACTATTGAGACTTCTCAAAAGCCATTTTTAAGACGTCTCAGAAGGTTGGAGGGAGGGGAGTTGGACAGCAGGTGAGTGGGACATGCACTGTAGTAATCCACTTTTGAGACGTCTCAAAAGCCATTTTTAAGACGTCTCAGAAGGTTGGAGGGAGGGGAGTTGGACAGCAGGTGAGTGGGACATGCACTGTAGTAACCCCCCCCCACCCCAGCAGACGATCCTGCACAGCAGCATCGAACACTATCCTGTCATATGCCGGCCCTGGCAACAAGTTGTTCACTTGAAATAACTCACCGATCGGTCAATCCTTGGTGTGAGAGTCTCTTCCATCCCAGCTGCCACTGCATCTGCCTCCATCGAAAACGTCTCACGGTAAAACCCGTCCTCTTCGCCTCCACTCTCACTCTCCTCCCCTCCCTCCGGCCCACTCCCGGCACCTTTCCCTTCTCCCCTCCCCTCTCCTCTCCCCGCCCATCCACTCCTACTGTTCCCCGGCCGGAACCCCGCGCAGTAGTTCACCGGGCGGCCTTTTTTGGCAGCATCCGGGGCGGGGCGGCGGGTCATGAGAGCTAGAGAGCCCTCCTCGCCCTTCACCACGAGCCCTGCTTCCACAGGCTGCCTGCGCATGAGCATCAACAGAGGTTCCTCGTAACCCTCATGGTAAAATCCGGCTACCATGGCCTCTCGCCCTGATGCCTGGAGTTGGAAAAACAGAGGGGAAGGGAGGGGAAATGAGAAGAGGTGAGGAGAAAAGGGGAGTAACGGAACCCTCTTGGCCCTTCACCACGAGCCCTGCTTCCACAGGCTGTCTCCGCATGAGCATCAGCAGCGGTTCCTCGTACCCCTCATGGTAAAATCCGGCTACCATTGCTTCCCTCCCTGATGCCTGGATTGGAAGAGCAGAGGAAGACGGGAGCGGAAGTGATGGGGGAGGAGAGGAGATGAGAGGAGGGGAGGAGGAAGGGATCCCTCTTGGCCCTTCACCACCAGCCCTGCTTCCACGAGCTGCCTCCGCATGAGCACGAGAAGAGAAGAGGAGAGAAGAGAAGAGAAGAGAAGAGAAGAGAAGAGAAGAGAAGAGAAGAGAAGAGAAGAGAAGAGAAGAGAAGAGAAGAGAAGAGAAGAGAAGAGAAGGGGTTTCTCATAGCCCTCGTGGTGAAACCCTGCCACCATTCCCTCCCGCCCTGATGCCTGGTGGGGTAGGAAAAGGGGGTTGGGGGTGGGCACAAGGGGAAATGAGTGGGGTAAGCACACTTCTCCTCGCCCTTCACCACGAGTCCTGCTTTCACGGGCTGCCTGCGCATTAGCATGAGAAGACAAGAGGTTCCTCATATCCCTCCTGGTGAAATCCTTCTCTTCCCGTGATGCGTGGGCCTGGGGTTGCATGAAGGAACAGGTACAGGCAGTAACGAGAGAAGGTAGTAGAAGCCTTAAGTAGAGGGTTTTGATGCATGATGCCTGAATAATGTACACACAAACACATGCGGGCTCACATGCATGTAGCGCTGCACTTTCTCCGTGGTGCCACAACATGCACTGTATATCCTGTACATTAAACAACGACATGAGCTGGTTTTTGAGAATTCTCAAAAACCAGCTGGTGCCACAACATGCACTGTATATCCTGTATATAAAACAACGATATGCTCACATGATGCACATTATGTATACAAAGGCCCAGAAGGCTCACATGTATGTAACGCTGCACTTTCTCTGTGGTGGCAAACGTTGGACGTTTCTTGATGTGCCTACGCATATCCACCAACGAGTAGCTGCCACGTGGACACGTGGGAGGAAGGAGTGAGAACCAAGGAGAGGGGATGGTGGGGAAGGGGACACGGAGGGAGGATGAATGAATGGCAAATTGAGGAGTGGAGAACGGTTGAAAGGTTGGCAGGCGATGGGAACGACATGAGAGATTTGAGAAATGAGATTAACTAGAAGTTATGAAGCAGATTCAAGCAGTACAGACAGCAAAGTGACGAAGCAGATTCAAGCAGGGAGCGAGAGGATGACTGGAACGGAAAGGGTAGGAACGAGAAAAAGAGGGAATGAGGTCAGGGAAGGAAAGAGAGGGATAGAGAGGGTTTGAAACACACCATGAGGGAGAGCAGTCCTTGAGGCTGAGATATGCCATGTGGATTTGAGGGTCCTGCACACATGCACATGGTCATTCAAGATGGGCGAGACAGGAGTCATGGGGGAGACATGAAAGAGAGGAGAGGCAGGAGAGACAGAGGCTTCTTGTGGTGGCTGTCTAGGGGAGCAGAGCAGTCCTCACGGAGAGACAGACAGAAGCAGAGCAGTCTTGCTTGCGGGTTGAGGCTGAGATATGCCATGTGTACTTGCGGGTCCTGCAGAGACGTATACACAGACAAGACATGGGAGCTGAGAGACAGGGAAGACAGAGACAGATACAGTGGAGACACCAGGGCCACAGACTGCGATAACAGAGATTGCATTCAGGATGGCCAAACACAAGGAACCACCACCGCACCCCAACAGTGTCAGCAGCCCCAAACCCAAGAAGCAGATTTGACAATGCTGGCCAACTCACCTGCAAGATGGTAGCAGCTTGAGACGGGGAGAGGCCGGTGTTGGCTCCTAGCAGGCTCAGCATTGCCTCCTCCGTGGCTCCAAGCTGAAGGGCGATGGGAGAGAGAAAAGGGAGAGGAGGAAGAGTGAAGGAGAGTGGAGGAGGAGAATGGATGGGGAGAAACAAGACGGAAAGAGGTAGGTTGGTGTTGGCTCCTAGCAGGTTCGGCATTGCCTCCTCAGTGGCTCCAAGCTGAAGGGCGAGAGCAAGAGAGGGGGGAGGAGGGATGTGAAGAGTGGAGAGGAGGACGGAATTGGAAAAAGTGGAGGAGAATGGAGGGGAAGGGTGGAGGGGGAGAGACGAAAAGTGTTGGGTCCCAGCGGGCTGAAGTGTTGACGAGAAGTGCATCGCCTCCTCTGTGGCTTCGAACTGAAGGGCGAGAAGCAAGAGAGGGATGGGGAAGGGGAGAGTGGAGGGGGAGGGTGGAGGGGGAGGGTGGAGGGAGAGGGTGGAGGGGGAGAGTGGAGGGGGAGGGTGGAGGGGGAGGGTGGAGGAGGAAGGTGGAGGGGGAGGGTGGAGGGGGAGGGTGGAGGAGGAGGGTGGAGGGGGAGGGTGGAGGAGGAGGGTGGAGGGGGGTAGTGGCAAAAAGGTGAGAAAGTGGTGTTGGGCACCCAGAAGGCTCAGCATTGCCCCCTCTGTGGCTCCGAACGGACGGGCGAGAGGCGAGAGAGGGGGGTTAGGTGGAGGGGTAGAGTGAAGGGCGAGAGAAGGAGCGGGGAGAGAAGGAGCGGGGAGAGAAGGAGCAGGGGATATAGAAAGACGAGCCTGGTGTTGACATCCTGAGCCCCTAGCAGGCCCCTAGCAGGCTCAGGATTGCCGCCACGAAGAGAGTCGTGCAGAAGTAGCGCGTGCTGCCGTCAACACTCACCCACCCACCCACCCACCCACCCACCCCGTGCTTGCTTGCAGCTGAGAGTTGAGGCAAGGCATGCAGGAAATTCACGCACCTTGGGGGGAAAGGCGTCCACCCCATGCAGCAGACACGCCTCCCCACTGCTCGCCCTCACAGCCTCCACTCCAGAGCGTCGGGCGAAAGTAGCGCATGCTGCCGTCAACACCCACCCACCCACCCCGTGCATGCAGCTGAGAGTTGAGGACCGGCGTGCACCTTGGATGGGAGCATGTAGCCTCTCACCTTGGATGGGAGCGTGTAGCCTCGCACCTTGGGCGGAAACTCGTCCACCCCATGCAGCAGACACGCCTCTCCACAGCTCGCCCTGACCGCCGCCACAAAGAGTGGTACCCCCTCCGCCCCCCTCTTCCCCACTAGTCCCCCTCACCTTGGGGGGAAACTCGTCCACCCCATGCAGCAGACACGCCTCTCCACAGCTCGCCCTGACTGCTGCCACGAAGAGCGTCGGGCGGAAGTAGCGTGTGCTGCCGTCATAGGGATCTCCGTAGTGGGTGAGTGAAGGCACTCTTGCAATGGGGGCTGGACCCATCTCCTGAAGGTGAAGAAACAGCAAGGGGAGCAGAATGAGAGGCGAGGCGAGGGGGGGAAGCAAGGGAGGGAGTAGCGCGTGCTGCCGTCGTAGGGGTCCCCGTCGTGTGGAAGTGAAGGCACGTTTGCTATTGGAGCTGAACTCAAGGGAGAGATGGAAAGAGCAAGGAAGGGAGGCGAGTGGAGGGAGTTAGATGGCGGGTGGGTGGGAGAGTGGGAGGGAGGGATCAGATACCAAGCAAAAGGCATGGCTCCCCTCCTTGCACCCCGCCAGTGCATCGCTCACTCCCTCCAAGTCAACCCCTACCCCCACATCAAAGACCTAGCAAAAGGCATGGCACTGGGCACTCCTCCCACTACACCACCCTATCTGATCAAACGCCAGGCAGAAGGCCTTTAGCTCTCTGTTGGTCTCTCGGTTCATGCGCACGGCGATCAGATATGCCGGCACCAGAGCATCACTCACCCGCCCCCACTCCCTCCTCCGCACTTGTACCCCAGGCACGAGAATGCATCGCGCCATACCTGATCGAACGCCAGGCAGAATGCCTTGAGCTCGCGGTCAGTCTCTCGGTTCATGCGCACGGCGATCAGATATGCCGCCACCAGTGCATCGCTCACTCCCTCCGAGCATCATACCCATACATACCTGGTCGAACGCCAAGCAAAACGCCTTGAGCTCGCGGTCAGTCTCTCGGTTCATGCGCACGGCGATCAGATATGCCGCCACCAGAGCATCGCTCACCCCCCCCACTCCCTCCTCCGCACTTCCGCCCCTCATGGGCAGCAGGTTCTGCAGCAGCGACATGGTTTCCTGGAAGGGGTGGGGTTGGGGGTGGCAAAGGAGAGCACACAGGACCATGTTGCTGCTGCAGATCTCAGCGGTTTTGAGCTGTCTCAAACGCTTCCCACGTCCTTCCCTCCCCCGCCCCGCCCCTTGCAGCCGCACCGCCTCTCATGGGCAGCAGGTTTTGCAGCAGAGACATGGTCTCCTGGACAGGAGGGGTTTGGGGAGGTTGGGGGGCACAGAAAACCACACAAAAGAAGAGTAACGCTTACTGAAAGTAGCCAGCAAGAACGCAAAACAATCTTGAAATCCGTGTCCATGTCAGCAGCATGGGTGAGTGCGCTTGTGGTGGAGAAGGAGAAAGTGAATGCGTAATGTTGCTCCACACGCAGGCCAGACGACCTCACCTGAAACCTCACCTGAAATCTCACCTGATTCCTCACCTGAGATATCGCCTGAGATCTCACCTGAAACCTCACCTGATACCTCACCTGAGATTCCACCTGAATTCTCACCTGAAAGCCAAGGTGCACGCCGAACAGAATATCCCTGAGATCTCCGACCACCTGCGCCTCCTGCTCCGACCCATGCCCGTTGAACGTGGGGCCCACAGGGAGAGCATCGTTGAAAATGGAACCCTGGGGGGATGCAATGGAGGGACACAGAAGCAGCACAAGGTCGGTATGTGGCTCGCGAGTCGCACCCCACCCCACCACCTGAGGGGGTGGGGAGGTGTATTGAACAGGGGAGAGTATCGAGATTGAGACACACTCGAGAGGCACGAGACATGTGGCTCCCACCGCATCCCACCGCATCTCACCGCATCCCACCACACCTCACGCGCCACAGCACCACCTGAGCCTACTGCTCCGACCCATGCGGGGTGGGGGGGACGTGGGACCCACAGGCGATATATATATATACACATATATATATATATTTATTTATATATCTTAATGGAACCCTGAGCAAGAGACTGTATCGGGTCCCTTCACCTCACCCAGCACCCACCTGAGGGTCGGCAAGGAAGAGCACGTCCCGGGGGAGGTGGTATTTGAGGGCGGGCCACATGTCAACCAGCGCCCTCCTCTCCCCCTCGCTCCACTGCGTGGGAGGTGGGAAGCAGTTGGCTCGCACTGTCATGCCCGCGAAAAAGGCGCCCATCTGCGCCCGTGACACTCGCTCAGAGGGAGGCAGTTCCTCTTTGGCTGGTGTACGGGGCAGGGGGCACGGAGGCACGGGGCAGGAGGCACGGGGCAGGGGGCAGGGGCCAAGAGGGAGGGGTCAGGGGGGCAGGGGGGCGCGGAAGAGTGAAGGGTTGTTGTGTTTGTCACTCCACTGCGTGGCAGGAGGGAAGCAGTTGGCTCGCACGATCATGCCCGCAAAGACCGCCCCCATCTGAGCGCGTGAGACTAACTCTGATGGGGGGAGCTCGGCCTTTGCTGGCAGGGCAGGCAAAGAGGGTTCCAGGGCAAAGAACAGAAGGATAAAGGGCGAGGAGGGGGGAAGCATTGGCTCGCACTGTCATGCCCGCAAAGACCACCCCCATATGCACGCGTGACACTCGCTCTGATGAAAGAAGTTCGTCTTTTGCTGGTGTATGGGGCAGGGGACGAAGGACAAGGGAGAAAGAGGGGAGGAGGCAAGGGGCAGGTGGGAAGGGACAAGGGACAAGGGGGAGCGAGGAGGGGGAGGGGAGAGGGGGCAGGGGGCAGGGGCAGGAGACAGGGGACAGGGAACAAGGGGCACGGGACAGGGGACAGGGGCCAGGGGACAGGGGTTAAGGTTGTTGCACGATTCAGTTCACTGAGGCAATTCTCCCTTGGCTGAGTGGGGAAGAATATGAGAGAGGCGAGAGTAGATGATTAGGGAAAGGCAGTTGGAGGGTAATGTCATGCCTGACGGAACACCTGACGGGTTACTTGGGGCTCACCTGAAAGAACACCTGGGACATACCTGACAGAACACCTGAAGGCGCACCTGACAGAACACCTGAAGGCGCACCTGACAGAACACTTGAGGGCACACCTGAAAGCAAGATCTGCTCCAACACGCGCCGCATCTCCTCTTCTCCCAGCGGCCGGGTCTGCGTGGGTCCAGTGCACACGCGCGCCTGCGCCTCGAGAACCACCTGGTTCGGCCCCACGTCATCCTGTAGGAACTTTCCGCCAAGCTTCCCGCCGAACTCCACTTCCCCGATCCCACGGATCTGAGCCGATACTGACGGCTCAGATCCGCCCGAGGCTTGGCTTGTACCGCTAGCGGCGAAAACGGCTAGGCGGTGAAAGGAGGGCAAGTTTCTAGGAGAATTTAGCGCGCTTCGGGTTCGGAGGAATCGCGTGAAATGAACCTGTGTGGGAAGGACTGTTGCGCATGGGTTATAGTACGCAGCGCGGCGGCTCAGTGGCCCTCCTGCTGCTGCGACGGTCGCGGTTGGGGCGGATCTGAACATCCAATCGCACGATAGCGAGTTCCTCGCCTGCGATTCGGCGGATCGGTTCGCATGATGCGGCCCGCGCCAATCGCCTGGGTCGCAGGGGATCGCAACTGGGGCAATTGCCGCGGTGCGATACGGCACGGGGGTGACTTGCGACATGTTCATCTGAGTAGAGAACATGTCAGTTCAAGTTGGAGGTAAAGTACGGCTCGATACTCTAATCGCAGAGAAAGGTTAGTTCACATAAGGACACGTGGGATGTGGATGATTGCGAAACCAAAACACGAAACTCGGCACCGATAGTCGGCAAAGGCAGACGAATAATAACCAATTACTACTATTGCGTGTAAGTGTGGACAGAGTGTAACACGTGTTACTCGGATTCATGAATTAGGAATATCGGTTCTTTCGCAGATGCTCTTGTCGCAATCCAATTATTCGTCATAGAATGATTGATTGGCTGGCAAATCCACGTGACAGTTTAGGACGTGGGCCCAGTCGAGTTTGATCATGAATGATCTGATCGGGTCGGATCTGATCGGGTTGCATGTGATCGCAATGCCCGAGCCGCTATTTTTTGAAGAAAATTTGCAGCGCCTGCTGAGCAAGCGCAGTGCATTTACCTCGCATTTTCGTCCCTATTTTAGCGAGATTGGCGACCACACTTCACCTGGCGAACATCTTCATTTCCCTGTAAGTGCAACAGTGTAACTGCTCGCAAGTGTCGCTGTGGGCCCCGATCACATGCAATCAGGTGATCGCCTGTGATCGACAAAAATCGACTTTGATCGGGGTGAAAATCGGGTCTGATTGAGTTGGGGCGATCAGTTGATCGCAATCAACCGTTTGCCCCCGATTGCATGAAATTGGCTTCCAGACTTCCTAGAATTGTTGATCGCGTGTGATCGAGGCGATCAAACTCGATTGGGCCCACGTCCTTACCTGAAGTCAAACGTCTGGCGAATCTGCCCGTCTTGGGATTTCTGAACTTTTGTAAAGTACACGTCATGGATGACTCAGCAGCAGCAATGCCTACCAGCATCTGCCATGGAACTGACAGGGAGACGGGAAAAACGGAGACGGGCAGCTTGGTCAGATCGGCGGGAACTGGTACAGTATCTGCCTTGACGGGGCAGCACACTGTACAGCCTCGATGGAGCAGGGAAGTTTCCGGGCATGGGCAGCAGCAAAAACAAAGCACCCATCAACCATCAGTGAACACGTGCGCAACACCACAGCAGAACAACCGACCGACCTGACCTACGGTACGGAAACTAGACAGGAACAGTACACCCAAGAAAGATGTGGATCCGCTCAACCGCTACACTTCAGGGAAAACCTACCTTTTCTTTCTGTCTATTTCTTCTGATGTGTCATCTCCTCCGCTCCGCTCAGGGACCTTGAGATTACCGTACCGCACATCTTTACTTCCCAGTCTACATGCCTGACGTCCTCTCCGAGGACTCGTCACCACTTACGCCAGATTTTCTTGCATACTTAGTTTCTGTGATACCGATTCAGTTATACAGCTGCGGACTGCGCGGCAGCTTTGGCGGGAAAATACATTCTGTTTTCCTAGTGACTGCTGCATTATACATTTCCGCGCTAGAGATCGCTAGTTATATTTTACATTATTCGTTCCGTACAGACCTTTCCAGTTAGCCCGAACGCCAGTAACAAGCAGTCTGTCCGTCTGAGCCTACTTGAACCGGCGTTAACACCCAACCTAGCCTGTCGGACGGCTTAATTCGCAACAAGGACAGCAAACTTGTCCGACAAGCCTTGTGTAGCGAACACCGTGGCGTGACGTTGGAGCAACCACCGTGGCATATCAGCTGTAGCAAACATCACGACGTGAGCCTTGCGCTACACGAACGTATCGTCGAGAGGAGCGAGAGCGAGATAGGCGCGGGAGTTCGAGCAGCAGCGCGCGAGCGATGGGGAACCAGACGAGCGTGGTGGACGCGCTGGTCGATCTCGAGTTCCCGTCAGCCGCGGCGGCCCCCGCGCCGCGCCTGCCGCCCGGCCACGACCTCCCCATGGGCGTTCTCTCCTTCGAGGTCGCGTCGCTCATGCGGAAAGCGCTTGATCTATGGCGCCAGCTCGACGCGCGGAATATAGCGGGCTTGGAAAAGCAGCTGCAGGTGAGCCGGTTCTGTTTGTCTGTTTTGGTTGGTTGCCTTTTCTTTCTAATTCCAGACGTTTCAGAAGCTCATTGCGCGCCGTAGTCGGCGCAAGAGTCGCCAGGCGCAAACACTGTCTCCCCGCCGCCTGCCCCCCTGGCCACCACCTTTGATTGGCGAAAATGAGTTCCCGCGAGGCGCACTGCCCCGCGCCGGCCTCTCCGCCGGCCACGACCTGCACGCACGGGCGCTTTCTCCCTCGAGGTCGCGAGTTCACGGGGCGCGCGCGAACTTTGGAGGCAGCTCGACTCGCGGAACATTTTTCGCTTAGAAAAGCAGCTACATTGAAGACGCGCAGTGTTCTCCCACAGTCGACTCAAACAGCACCCCCCTTCCGTCCTCCTCCGCTCCTCTCTCTCTCTCTCTCTCTCTCTCTCTCTCTCTCTCTCTCTCTCTCTCTCTCTCTCTCTCTCTCCCCTCCCCTCCCACCTCTCTTTCCCCGCTTTCCTCTTTTTTCCCGCCTGGTGCGCGCGGAGTATGCCTCCGACCTCCCTCCCCCTTCCCCAAACACCTCTCTCCCCGCAAGCAGACCGAAGGGCTGAAGCGCCTGGCGGGCGCAAAACAGGCCTCCGACCTCACGCGCGCTCCCGTTCCCCAACCCCACTCTCCCCCTCCCCTCAGACCGAGAGGCTGAAGCGTCTGGGCGTGGGGGACTATTCCCTCCGCTGGCGCCTGGCGGGCGCGGAGTATGCTTCCGACCTCACCGCGCGCACCCTTTTCTCTCCCCCTCTTCCCCGCCCCCTCCCCCCAGACCGAGGGGCTGAAGCGCCTGTGCGTGGGGGACTATTCCCTCCGCTGGCGCCTGGCGGGCGCGGAGTATGCCTCCGACCTCACCGCGCTGACCGCCGCCGTGGGGGTGCTGGCGCGCAGGTGCGGGGGCGCGCGGAGCGGGGAGGTGCTGAAGCGGCTGCGGGGGTACAGCCGCGCATGGAAGAGAGAAGATAGCTTTAGCGAGGGCGAGGCGGACGAACATATTCTTTGTCGTTGTTTGCTTGTCGTTGCACGCGTCGTTGCCGTATTTTTTGTTTGCTTTTTTTTTTTTTTTTTTTTTTTTTTTTCAGACTGGCCTTAATTTGTGCCCCTTCTTTTCCTGGCAGTTTTCTGAGGGAACAGCTGGAGCCAATGGGAGCGCTGCACAACGCAATGCTGGCACTGGATGACGTCATCAACAGGTGAGGCTTTTGAAATTCGTTAAGAGCGACGCAAGCATCAAACATCGCGCCTGCAGGGCCCCAGCTAAACGTGCCCCTTCCCCTCCCCCCTCCCCCTCCCCCCCTCCCCCTCCCCCTCCCCCCTCCCCTCCGCCCACCAGCTCCTCAGGAGACCCCGAACTGCAGAACCCCAGGACCTGTCTGGCCAAGGGAAAGCCGCAGGCCGCACCCACTCACTGTTTGTTTCCCCCCATCTGCTCCCCCCTCCCCCTCCCCTCCGCCCTCCCCTTGTCTCCCCCCTCGCTTTCCCCATCTGCTCCCCCCTCCCCCTCCCTCCGCCCTCCCCTTGTCTCCCCCCTCGCCTTCCGCATCTGCTCCCCCCTCCCCCTCCCCCCTACCCTCCGCCCACCAGCTCAGCAGGAGATCCCGAGGTGCAGAACCCTAAGACGCGTCGGCCCAAGGGGAAGCCACAGGCCGCCGTGATGGAACAGGTGGGGTTGGGTTGGGAGGAGTGAACAATGGGTGGAGTGCGGTGGGGGGCTGTGCTGGAGCAAGTGGGATGGTGGTGGGAGGAGAAAATAGTGGGTGGGGTGCGGTGGATGAACGGTTGACGGTTGTGATCGAACAGGTGGGATGGAGATGGGGACGGGAGAAAGTTCGACTCGAGATGTTATTTGGGTTTCGGATGTTCGACTTCTCATCACCATCCTGCATGTCAAGCCAACGAGGTGACTTTTGAGTCGACTCAAAAGCCACCGTCCTGCCTGTCAACCCAAGAGCCCCACACTGCCTGTCTCAAGACTCTTTGTGGTTGCAGCCACCCACATGCTGACTTCAAACCCCACTTCCTCTCCCCACTCTCCCTTTCTCGCCTTCATTCCTTATCCCCTCTCTCCTCTCAAGGTGACTTTTGAGTCGACTCAAAAGTCTTTCTCGCCTTCATTCCTTATCCCCTCTCTCCTCTCTTCCCGCTCTCCGTTCTCCCCTCTCTCTCACCATCCTCCCCATCAGATGCAAGTGGTGCATCAGCTGCAGCGAGCATCCCTTTGGAACCACCCACTCGAACGACCGGTGCTGGTGAGTTTAATGAGGTGCTGACTGGTTCACTGCGGTGACGGCAGTTTTACGGAGTTTGTCTGCTCTGGCAGACACACTCCTTTCGCCTGCTCCCTTCAATCACTCTTGTTTCTGTTTGTCCGTTTTGCCCTCCAATCCATCGTCTCCCCTCCGTCACTCTCCCTTCCCACCCCCTTCCCCCCACAGCGCCTGGCAGTGTTACTGAGGGTGTTGTGGCAGCAGTACCGGTCTGTCTTCGGCCGGCCAGCCAATCTCCCCCCTCTCCCCACTCTCCTCGCCCCCCCTTCCCCTTACAGATGTTGTCAGTTTCAGTTAAAGTTTGTGGCAGCAGTACCGGCTGGTCTTCGGCCGGCCAGCTCCTCCCAAGCAGGGCGGGCTGAGGAGAGTGATGAGCCCCCTCTCTCTCTCCCTCCCACTCCTCTCACCCCTCGTTCCCCCCTTCACAGACGTTGGCCGTGTCGATTGGGGTGTTGTGGCAGCAGTACCGGTCGGTCTTCGGCCGGCCAGCCCCCCCCAAGCAGGAGGAGCTGAAGGCGACGCTGGGAGCAGCGGGGCTGCCGTCGGTTTATGCGCGAGTGCTGCTGGGGGTGGAGCAGATGCGAGAGATGAGCCCCATCAGCCAGCCTTTCAAGGAGCAGCGGTGAGTCTCTGGTATTTGTTGTGTTGCTGGTTTGGTGATGCGAGTGGGTGGTTGGGATTGGGGCAGCGGGGCTGCCTTCGTTGTATGCGCGCGTGCTGTTGGGGGTGGAGCAGATGAGGGAGATGAGCCCCATCAGCCAGCCTTTTAAAGAGCAGCGGTGAGGGTCCTTTATGTTTGCAAGAAGAGAAAAGAAGAAAGAAAGAAAGAAATAAGAAATCGGGGACCTTTCTCACATAAGAGGGTGTTTGATAAATATTTACCTATCCCGCTTTACTTTTCCTGGTTTTCTCCCTGTATCTCATCCCCCCCACCCTCGCATTCTCCTCACTCCCTCACTCCTCACCCCCACCCTCACACCCTCTTTTCCCTCACTCCCATTCACTGTGCATCGGCGCCAGGCCAAGCGTCTGAAGCAGAGCAGACCTTTGAGACGCCTCAAGATGCCCCACCCTTACACCCCCTTCCCCTCCCCCTCCACCCACCAGGAGGGAGCTCTATTCCATCCTCCCGTCCACCGTGCGTCGGCGCCTGGCCAAGCGGCTGAAGCAGCGGTCCAAGCGGCAGATCGACGGGGGGATAGCCCGGGACCTCAAGGGCGTGGTGGGGGACATTCTGAAGTGGGCCGTGCCTCACACTCTCCCTGCCCTCAAACTCTCCCTGCCCTCAAACTCTCCCTGCCCTCATACTCTCCCTGCCCTCTCTCCCTCCCGCTCCCCCTCCACCCACCAGAAGAGAGCTCTACTCCATACTGCCGTCCACGGTGCGTCGGCGCCTGGCCAAGCGGCTGAAGCAGCGGTCCAAGCGGCAGATCGACGGGGCGATAGCCCGGGACCTCAAGGGCGTGGTGGGGGATATCCTGCGGTGGGTCGTGCCTCTGGCTGAGCGCACGGAGGTGTGGAATGGCGACAAGTCGTTCGGGGCTCAGAGGAGAAACCGCGGCCACCGCACGCTGCTGGTGGAGGTGAGATGCTAGTGTAGGTGAGATGCTGGTGGAGGTGAGATGCTGGTGGAGGTGAGATGCTGGTGGAGGTGAGATGCTGGTGGGGCCAGGGCTGTGCTGGTGGGGCCAGGGCTGTGCTGGTGGGGACGAGTGAGAGGCTGTGCGGGTGGTTGGTATGCAGTACGTTTGAGATGTCTCAAAAGACCCCCCTTTTGCTTTTCTTTCCCTTCTTCGTCAATCTCAACCCTCACTTCCCCCATCACAATGTGCATGGAAATACATTTCAGCATGCGCCATTATACAGTAAGACTGTCCATGCCGTTTTATTTGCCACCTTACAGTTCTGAGTAAGTCCAATCCCCATCCCCAGCTTATATACCATCACGAACTGATATAAACAAAAGCTACTTGGCACAGGCGGGCCACTCTTTGGCGGCTAGGGCTTGCAACACTGCGGCTGCTGTCCATTGTTTTGCCGCCCTTTTTGAGGGCATTGCTTTACCTTCAATCCGTACTACCGTTGATCCGTCAGCTGCTTTTACCACACAATCCAGGCAATAGCCGTCACCGAGAAACCTGGAAATAAAAGAGATGGTATTAATAATTGAAACAGCATTGATTTTACTGCATGGTGGCTTATCTAATGAATGTAATGGGCATTTACGGTACTTACCTGGGAGCACCAGTGTTGCCACTAGCAGGTTCAGAGCTGGCACCACCAGCCGCCTCCCAACCACCACCAGCCGCCTCCCAACCACCACCAGCCGCCTCCCAACCACCACCAGCCGCCTCCCAGCCACCACCAGCCGCCTCCCAACCACCACCAGCCGCCTCCCAGCCACCACCAGCCGCCTCCCAACAACCACCAGCCGCCTCCCAACCACCACCAGCCGCCTCCCAGCCACCACCAGCCGCCTCCCAACCACCACCAGCCGCCTCCCAACCACCACCAGCCGCCTCCCAACCACCACCAGCCGCCTCCCAGCCACCACCAGCCGCCTCCCAACCACCACCAGCCGCCTCCCAGCCACCACCAGCCGCCTCCCAACAACCACCAGCCGCCTCCCAACCACCACCAGCTGCCTCCCAGCCACCACCAGCCGCCTCCCAACCACCACCAGCCGCCTCCCAGCCACCACCAGCCGCCTCCCAACCACCAACAGCCGCCTCCCAACCACCACCAGCCGCCTCCCAACCACCACCAGCCGCTTCCCAACCACCACCAGCCGCCTCCCAACCACCACCAGCCGCTCCCCAGCCACCACCAGCCGCCTCCCAGCCACCACCAGCCGCCTCCCAACCACCACCAGCCGCCTCCCAACCACCACCAGCCGCCCCCCAGCCACCACCACAAGTAGCACTGGTAGAGTAACCAGCGCTTGAATCACCACCGTTGATTACACCACAATTGCTAGATCCAGCATTCATTGGCACATCCCCACCAACACCAGCAGCAGCAGCAGCAGGAGCAGCAGCAGGAGCAGCAGCATCAGCAACAGGAGCAGCAGCAGCAATAGCAGCCGCAGCAGCAGTAGCAGCCGCAGCAGTAGTAGCAGCAGGAGCAGCAGTAGTAGCAGCAGCAGCAGCAGCAGCAGGAGCAGGAGCAGCAGGAGCAGGAGCAGCAGGAGCAGGAGCAGCAGGAGCAGCAGGAGCAGCAACAGCAGCAACAGCAGCACCAGGAGCAACAGCAGGAGCAGCAGGAGCAGCAGCAGCAGCAGCAGCAACTGCAGCAACAGCATCAGCAGAAGCAGGAGCAGCAGCAGCAGCAGCAGCCGCAGCAGGAGCAGCAGCAGCAGCAGCAGCAGCAGCAGCAGCAGCAGCAGCAGCAGCAGCAGCAGCAGCAGCAGCAGCAGCAGCAGCAGCAGCAGCAGCAGCAGCAGCAGCAGCAGCAGCAGCAGCAGCAGCAGCAGCAGCAGCAGCAGCAGCAGCAGCAGCAGCAGAAGGCGCTGCAGGCGCAACAGCAGCAGCAGCAGGAGTATCAGCAGCAGCAGGAGCTGGAGCAGGAGCAGGAGCAGGAGCAGCAGGTGCTGCAGGCGAAGCAGAGGCGCACCCAACAGTAGACCCACCTTGGGCGGATCCCATCCAATCTACAGCAGACTTGCTCCTTGAAGACTTTTGAGACGTCTCAAAGGGCCCACCTTGTGCGGATCCATTCCAAATCACAGCAGACTTTCTCCTTGAAGTAGGAGATACTCTCTGGTATACAACCATCCAATGCCGCGCCTGGCAGAAGTTATTCAGGGTGGTTACAACTGCCTGACCTGGCACACAGCCTCGGAACCCATCTAGGGCGTCCAGAGCGGCCAAACCTATCAAAATCTCCCTTTTTACTGCTCCTGCTCCTTCTGCTTCTGCTGCTGCTTCTTCCACCCCTTCCACTGCTCCTGCTGCTGCTGCCGCCCCTTCCTCTGCTCCAGCAGCTGCTGCTGCCTCCCCCATTCCTGACTTCCCTCGCTTCCTCTTCTTTCCTCCAGCCTTTGCTCCTGCCCTGGCATCTGCTGCCGCCTCCCCCATTCCTGACTTGCCTCTCTTCCTCTTCTTTCCTCCTGCCTTCGACTTCCCACCATTACACTCACTTTTCCCTCCATTCTTAACAGAACCCTCGGGCACAATTCCCTCCATCCCTGCTACACCTTCTCCTCCTCCTGCCTCTTTCCCAGCTTCATCCTCCTTTCCTCCCTCCTCCACTCCCTTATCGCCTTCCTCTGATTGGGTCTCCCATGCAGCACTCGTAGGCCCCACAGCCCGTGCCTTCTCTGCCTCCTGGTACAGCTTCCGGAAGCCCTGCACAGTCTGGGGGGAGAGTGGCGGGAAGAGGGGAGAGTGGAAAGCAGGCGGTGATCATGCGAGCACCAGCTAGTTTGAAGGGCCTCATAGGCCCCATGAACCAGGCCCCATGAACCAGGCCCCATGAACCAGGCCCCATGAACCAGGCCCCATGAACCAGGCCCCATGAACCAGGCCCCATGAACCAGGCCCCATGAACCAGGCCCCATGAACCAGGCCCCATGAACCAGGCCCCATGAACCAGGCCCCATGAACCAGGCCCCATGAACCAGGCCCCATGAACCAGGCCCCATGAACCAGGCCCCATGAACCAGGCCCCATGAACCAGGCCCATGAACCAGGCCCCATGAACCAGGCCCCATGAACCAGGCCGCATGAACCAGGCCCCATGAACCAGGCCCCATGAACCAGGCCCCATGAACCAGGCCCCATGAACCAGGCCCCATGAACCAGGCCCCATGAACCAGGCCCCATGAACCAGGCCCCATGAACCAGGCCCCATGAACCAGGCCCCATGAACCAGGCCCCATGAACCAGGCCCCATGAACCAGGCCCCATGAACCAGGCCCCATGAACCAGGCCCCATGAACCAGGCCCCATGAACCAGGCCCCATGAACCAGGCCCCATGAACCAGGCCCCATGAACCAGGCCCCATGAACCAGGCCCCATGAACCAGGCCCCATGAACCAGGCCCCATGAACCAGGCCCCATGAACCAGGCCCCATGAACCAGGCCCCATGAACCAGGCCCCATGAACCAGGCCCCATGAACCAGGCCCCATGAACCAGGCCGCATGAACCAGGCCCCATGAACCAGGCCCCATGAACCAGGCCCCATGAACCAGGCCCCATGAACCAGGCCCCATGAACCAGGCCCCATGAACCAGGCCCCATGAACCACGCCCCATGAACCAGGCCCCATGAACCAGGCCCCATGAACCAGGCCCCATGAACCAGGCCCCATGAACCAGGCCCCATGAACCACGCCCCATGAACCAGGCCCCATGAACCAGGCCCCATGAACCAGGCCCCATGAACCAGGCCCCATGAACCAGGCCCCATGAACCAGGCCCCATGAACCAGGCCCCATGAACCACGCCCCATGAACCAGGCCCCATGAACCAGGCCCCATGAACCAGGCCGCATGAACCAGGCCCCATGAACCAGGCCCCATGAACCAGGCCCCATGAACCAGGCCCATGAACCACGCCCCATGAACCAGGCCCCATGAACCAGGCCCCATGAACCAGGCCCCATGAACCAGGCCCCATGAACCAGGCCCCATGAACCAGGCCCCATGAACCAGGCCCCATGAACCAGGCCCCATGAACCAGGCCCCATGAACCAGGCCCCATGAACCAGGCCCCATGAACCAGGCCCCATGAACCAGGCCCCATGAACCAGGCCCCATGAACCAGGCCCCATGAACCAGGCCCCATGAACCAGGCCCCATGAACCAGGCCCCATGAACCAGGCCCCATGAACCAGGCCCCATGAACCAGGCCCCATGAACCAGGCCCCATGAACCACGCCCCATGAACCAGGCCCCATGAACCAGGCCCCATGAACCAGGCCCCATGAACCAGGCCCCATGAACCAGGCCCCATGAACCACGCCCCATGAACCAGGCCCCATGAACCAGGCCCCATGAACCAGGCCCCATGAACCAGGCCCCATGAACCAGGCCCCATGAACCAGGCCCCATGAACCAGGCCCCATGAACCAGGCCCATGAACCAGGCCCCATGAACCAGGCCCCATGAACCAGGCCCCATGAACCAGGCCCCATGAACCAGGCCCCATGAACCAGGCCCCATGAACCAGGCCCCATGAACCAGGCCCCATGAACCAGGCCCCATGAACCAGGCCCCATGAACCAGGCCCCATGAACCAGGCCCCATGAACCAGGCCCCATGAACCAGGCCCCATGAACCAGGCCCCATGAACCAGGCCCCATGAACCAGGCCCCATGAACCAGGCCCCATGAACCAGGCCCCATGAACCAGGCCCCATGAACCAGGCCCCATGAACCAGGCCCCATGAACCAGGCCCCATGAACCAGGCCCCATGAACCAGGCCCCATGAACCAGGCCCATGAACCAGGCCCCATGAACCAGGCCCCATGAACCAGGCCCCATGAACCAGGCCCCATGAACCAGGCCCCATGAACCAGGCCCCATGAACCAGGCCCATGAACCAGGCCGCATGAACCAGGCCCCATGAACCAGGCCCCATGAACCAGGCCCCATGAACCACATGTGCGCGTGATGAGACCATTTCTGAGTCGACTCAAAAATCGCCCCCTCTCCCTCCGGGTACAGTCAAGCTCGTATCTCCAACAGCTGCTTCCAATGCTTATATAAAGTCACGATGACTACAATCACACCAGTACAATCACATACGTTCATTATACTCACCTTGGCTCTTCTCAGCACATCAGAAGCTGCTTCAACTGTTGCTGCAACATCATCCACCCCCCACCCCTCCCCCAGCACCATTCCCCTCACCTCCACTTCCAAAACCACCCCCTCCTCCTACTTCCCATGTGCTTTTCATTCATTTTCTTACACTCACCTTGGCCCTCCTCAGCACGCTAGCTGGTGCTTCCACCGTTGCTGCCACGTCATCCACCCCCCACCCCTCCCCCAGCACCACTCCTCTCACCTCCACTTCCAAAACCACCCCCACCTCCCCCTCCTCTGCTCCTCCACCTCCTCCTCTACTCATCCGCAAGCGATTTTCACACAGCCCATTTTCCATTCCCTTCCGCTCCCCACCTTTCTCTCTCACACCACTCCCACACACCATCCCGCCGTCCCTTTCCCCACCCTCCTCATCCTTCCACGCACCATCCCCGTTCCTGTCCCCCTCCGTTTTCCCTTTCCCCCTCTCCCGCCCCCCCCTCTCCCCCCACGGCAAGTAAATAGGGGGGGGGAGGGCGAGGGCGCCGCAGAAGAGGAGCAGGGCGGAGGGGGGATGGAGGGAGAGGGGATGCAGCAGAGGGATGGGGGAGAGCCACGAAGAAACCACTTGCCACGTGCGGGTGAGAGGGCATGAGAGATGAAGATGTGCAAGGGGGTTGAGTGCGGTCCGAGGGGTGTTTGGAGGAGTAGAGTCGAGGAAGACTGCTGCAATGAGGGCCTCTATAAGATCAGGAACTTCCTGGTAGGAGAGCAAGTGAGGAGGGGAGAGAGATAGGAAGAAGAGAGGGGAGGGAGGAGGGAAGAAAGGAGGGGAGGGAGGAGGGGAATTGTCAACAGTGTTGCAGCATGGCGAAGGAAGAGGACTGTATGTGGGTAATGGCATGACTTTATTAGAGTCGACTGAAAAGGCAAGAGGAATGCATGTATGTGTGTGGGTACGCCTAGCCGTTTTAAGATTTGCAGCGCGTCAAGAATGCCGAGACGCAAGAGATTGTTTGTATGTATGTATGTATGTATGTATGTATGTATGTATGTATGTATGTTGTATGTATGTATGTATGTATGTATGTATGTATGTATGTATGTATGTATGTATGTATGTATGTATGTATGTATGTATGTATGTATGTATGTATGTATGATGTATGTATGTATGTATTGTATGTATGTATGTATGTATGTATGTATGTATGTAGTATGTATATGTATGTATGTATGTATGTATGTATGTATGTATGTATGTATGTATGTATGTATGTATGTATGTATGTATGTATGTATGTATGTATGTATGTATGTGGGTATGCCTGGCCGTTCAGATCTTTGCAGTGCATCAAAAAGGATTGGGATTGGGCAAGAGCGACGCAAAAGGGATGCAAGAGGGACGCAAAAGGGACGCAAAAGGGACGCAAAAGGGACGCAAAAGGGACGCAAGAGGGACGCAAAAGGGACGCAAGACGAATTGGGCAGCCCCTGAGAAGAAAGAAAGGCGAGGCATTCAAAGGTTGTACCAATGTGGATAGAAAGTAAGTGGTACAGGCAAACAGACAGTACGTAAGTACCATCTGTAGGGTTACATAATTACCTGCTCGCTCATATGGTTACACGGCGTTACCTTGCGGAACGGCTTCTGTTCATCATCAATGTCATCACCATTGCCCATGTGCCCTCTTCCCACGGCCTCCCCTCTCCCCACGGCCTCCCCTCTCCCCACGTCCTCCCCTCTCCCCACGTCCTCCCCTCTCCCCACGTCCTCCCCTCTCCCCACGTCCTCCCCTCTCCCCACGTCCTCCCCTCTCTCGATTACAGCCTGCTGTAACATCCTCTGTGATCCAACCATGCCTTCTCTACTGAAATTCACTTCCTCCTTCCCGTACTCCTCCCCATCCGTCTCCTTCTCCTTCCCGTACTCCTCCCCATCCGTCTCCTTCTCCTTCCCGTCCTCCCCCCCATCCTTCTCCTTCTCCTTCCCTTCCTCCTCCTTTCCCGATTGCCAAGCAGCCACATGTGCCAAGTCAGCTGCATCGGCAGCAGCAGCCTTCGCCGCCCGCCGTATGTTGCGCACCAATCGCAGCAGCCCACGGCACACCGCCAGCTGGCAAAACCGCTTCATGTTGTTCACAACCATGCGCAGGTTCGTCAGCTGGTGCGGGGACGGCCGGGTGGCGTGCGCTGACGTGGCACGTGCGATGGCATGGCAGCGTGCAATGACGTGGCATGTGGTGACGTGGCGGCAGGAGAATGGACCGTCACAGATGTTGCTTGCACCATGTGGTGCATGAGAAGAAAGTCCAGCACAGCTTCCCCCAGAAACACAAACCGTCTCTGCCACTTCAACCCCTCCTCCCGAATCGCCACTTTCAGTATCCCCTCATTTCTGAATCGATACCCCATCGCATTCTGAAGCTCCAGCAGCCAGCCAGCTGTTGCCACGTGGCACCTGGGGTTCGTTCTGGCGGTGGAAGGTTCTAGGAAGCTGGGCAAAGTCTGCTGCTGCTGCTGCTGCTGTTCCTCCTGCTGCCCATCCTGGTGCTGCACGCATTCCCCTTCAAGCAGCTTAGGCCGCTTCTCTGGCGGCGCAAGTTGCAGCTCCAACGGCTGTCTAGTTGGCTCCCAAGCGTGCTTGCTGCCACTCACCCTTTGCTCCAATTCTCGTGCTCCCATCTCTCCCCTCAGCAGCTCGCCCACGCCCTCTGATGGCACGTCCAGTGCCATATCTGTCTTTGCTGCAACTCCCACCACCCCTCTCTTTGCCACCCCCTCCGCCTCTCTCCCCCTCCACCCCGTCTCTCCCCTCAACAGTTCCCCCACGCCCTCCGTAGGCAGGCCCAGCCACCTCAGCACCGGCAGCGCCATGTCAGCGCCGCCGCACCGCCAGCTGGCGCCCACCAAGGCCTCTGCCACGTCAGCCAGCCTTTTTTTGGCTGAACGGCTCGCTGACTTGGCTGCTGGCTGTGCCGCTGCCAGCGAGGCAAAGGCGGAGTCCAGAAGGGCTTTGGGGCTAGGAGGAAGTTTCTGGGAAGATGCGGTAGCTCGAGAGTGTGAGGGGGAGTGTGGTTGGAGGAGCGAATGAGAGAGGGAGTCAGCCAGAAGCAGCACAGCGTGCGAGGGAGGGACTAGGGGGCCGATCCAATCCGTGGGTGTGAAGGGCTTGCAGCGAACGAGGGCGGGCACTCCGGCTTTAACTGCCCGTGCTGCCAGGTGCTTGTTTGAGACCAGCTTCACGCAGTGCCGTTTCAAGTCAACGTATGATGGCCCAGTGGGACGTCTCTTGGAGACTGGTGGCAGGGACGACTGGCTGTTGGGGGCTGGTGGTAGGGACGACTGGCTGTGTGGTGCATGTGATTGCATCGAGGCAATACCAGCGTATGCTGAGCCGTTGCTCCCATTCTTGTTCCCATGCCCATGCTTGTGCTTATGCTCACGCACACGCCCGTTATCCTGCTGCTGACGTGGCAGCAGAGTGGAGAACAGGTGGCAGGATGTGGCGAGCTGCACACAGCTGTCACCGAGAATCACGTCATTCTCGTAGGTGCCGACGCCAGGGCATCCCAGGGCGCGCAGGAGCTGAGAGGGGGAATGGGAGAGGGAGGGATGTTGGTGGGTGGAAAGGGGTGGTTGAGTTGAGAGGTGCAGGGAAGGAAGCAAGGGTGCAGGGCCGGGGCATCCCAGGGCACGCAGGAGCTGAGGGGTGCAGGGAAGGAAGCGAGGGTGGGAGAGAGGGAGGGAGGGAGGGAGGAGAGGAGGGAGGGAGGGAGGTGGAAGGGGGAGGAGGGAGGGAGGGTGGTGGAAGGGAGAGGAGGGAGGGAGGGTGGTGGAAGGGAGAGGAGGGAGGGAGGGAGGTGGAAGGGAGAGGAGGGAGGGAGGGTGGTGGAAGGGAGAGGAGGGAGGGAGGGTGGTGGAAGGGAGAGGAGGGAGGGAGGGTGGTGGAAGGGAGAGGAGGGAGGGAGGGAGGTGGAAGGGAGAGGAGGGAGGGAGGGTGGTGGAAGGGAGAGGAGGGAGGGAGGGTGGTGGAAGGGAGAGGAGGGAGGGAGGGTGGTGGAAGGGAGAGGAGGGAGGGAGGGTGGTGGAAGGGAGAGGAGGGAGGGAGGGTGGTGGAAGGGAGAGGAGGGAGGGAGGGTGGTGCAAGGGAGAGGAGGGAGGGAGGGTGGTGGAAGGGAGAGGAGGGAGGGAGGGTGGTGGAAGGGAGAGGAGGGAGGGAGGGTGGTGGAAGGGAGAGGAGGGAGGGAGGGTGGTGGAAGGGAGAGGAGGGAGGGAGGGTGGTGGAAGGGAGAGGAGGGAGGGAGGGTGGTGGAAGGGAGAGGAGGGAGGGAGGGTGGTGGAAGGGAGAGGAGGGAGGGAGGGTGGTGGAAGGGAGAGGAGGGAGGGAGGGTGGTGGAAGGGAGAGGAGGGAGGGAGGGTGGTGGAAGGGAGAGGAGGGAGGGAGGGTGGTGGAAGGGAGAGGAGGGAGGGAGGGAGGTGCAAGGGAGAGGAGGGAGGGAGGGTGGTGCAAGGGGGACCTGCCGGCACACACAAGCACAGACAAACGGGCTGGCTCACACATTGATACACATGTAGGGACCATGGAGAGAGGAGGGACCATGGAGAGAGGATCAGTGCACACACAGGCACGCACACACGCACGCACGCATGCACCCACACAGAGTCACTTACATTTTGGTGCCTGCCGCAGCAGCAGTGCGTTGTGCAGCTCTGGCTTCAACTGGCACACAGCGAACAGAGGCTGGTCAGGGTGCTGCAGCAATATGTTGTACCTGGTGAGGGGGGTTAGTCGTATTAGCAGTGCATGAGGTTAGGAGTGCATGAGGTTAGGAGTGCATGAGGTTAGGAGTGCATGAGGTTAGGAGTGCATGAGGTTAGGAGTGCATGAGGTTAGGAGTGCATGAGGTTAGGAGTGCATGAGGTTAGGAGTGCATGAGGTTAGGGGTAAAAGGGCTTGGCAATGACCAGAGCAGCAGCAGCAGCAGTGCGTTGTGCGGCTCTGGCTTCAGCTGGGGCGCAAGCAGCAAACAGACGTTGGTCGGGGTAATGCAGCGATGTGCCATACCTGGCAGAGGGGGGTAGGGGTGTAAGGTTTAAGGGTGTGATCGTGCAGTAGGGGTTGGGCAGTGTGGACGGTGTGTGCAGCAGAGCAGCAGCAGCTGGTACAGCAGATGGGAATGCACCGCATATGCTGCCATGCCATGCAGTTACTCACTGGTTCTGCAAGTGCTGTTGGAACGTGCCTATATGCAGCCCCTTGAACTCACTCCGTGCTGTTCTCCCTTCAGGGTCCCTCCCCACCAGCTGGTACAGCAGATGCGAATGCACCGCGTATGCTGCCATGCCATGCAGGTCATGCTCCTTCACAGGCCCGCGAGCTGTCATGAGCAGGGGCGTGCTGGCAGTGGCACGAGAAGGCATAAGCAGGGGTGTGGTCGCAGCAGTAACAGGGGCGTTGTTTGGAACAGCAGCATCCGCGTATGCTGCCATGCCATGCAGGTCATGCAACTCCACAGGCCCGCGAGCTGTCATGAACAGGGGCGTGCTGGCAGTGTTACGAGGAGGCACAAGCAGAGGCGTGCTGCCAGGGGCATTGTGGGTGATGTTCGGAAGAGCAGCAGCAGCAGCAGCATTGGTATCAGCATAATCATCAGCAGCAGTAGCAGCAGTAGCACCACCACCACCACCGTCACCATCAGCAGCAACAGCATTGGTATCAGCAGCAGTAGCAGCCTTGGTATCAGTGGCAGCAGCAGCATTGGTATCAGCAGCAGCAACAGCATTGGTATCAACAACACCAACAGCATTGGTATCAACAGCAGCAACAGCACTGGTATCAACAGCAGCAGCATTAGCACCAATACCATCAGCAGCAGCAGCAGCAGCACCAGGAGCATCACGTGCACAGCCATGAGAAGCGGCACTACGGCCTCCCAGAGACACCACCCTATCCACCGTCTCCCAGTCAATCCTCCCCAACAACACGCGCATCATATCATCATCATCCCCTCCCCTGCCCATGCCATCATCCCCTCCCCCACGATCCCCTGCATCCACCCCTTCGCTTTCCCTGCCTGCATTCGCCCCGCTCCCTTCCTCCCCTCCCTCAGCTGCCCCTCGCCAGTCTGCTGCTGTCCCTCTTTCTCCTCCTCCTCTTTCGCTTTCTCCCTCCCTTCCTTCCTTTCCTCCTTCGACCAAGCAGGGCAGCACGAGGCAGTAGTGGGATGCGGTCCAGAAGGCTCCAAAGGGGCGCACAGCGGTGCTGATGGGCGTGTGCTCACCAGCAGCAGCGGCATCAACAGCGTCGGTCGTAATGACAGCTGCTGCTGAACCAGCTGTAGCAGCAGCAGTTTCAGTAGCAGCAGCAGCAGCAGCAGCTTGGGCGAGGATGGGAGCATGGTCCATGAGGTCTTGTCGATCCAACGCCATGCCGAACAGACGCATGTGGTAGCACATGGCGCTGGCCAGCTGAAGATCATTCGAGAAAACGCGGGAGACACGGGGGAACGGGGAGGGGGGGAAGAAGGGGGAGACGGGGGAGTCTGGGGAGAAGGCGGAGAAGGCAGAGAATGGGGAGAATGGGGAGAATGGAGAGAATGGGGAGAATGGGGAGAATGGGGAGAATGGGGAGAATGGGGAGAATGAGGAGAATGGGGAGAATGAGGGGTGCATGCATATGGGTGTGGAGCTGACGTGTTCCAACGCCTGTGTGAGCACCTGACGCACTCTGACACCTGCATGCATGAGCTGAACCTGCTGAACCACCTGAATCGCCTGAACCACCTGAATCACCTGAACCACCTGAATCGCCTGAACCGCCTGAATCACCTGAACCATCTGAATCACATGAACCATCTGAATCACTTGAACCTTCTGAATCACCTGAACCATCTGAATCACCTGAACGTTCTGAATCACCGGAACCATCTGAATAACCTGAACCATCTGAATAGCCTCAAACCATCTGAATCACCTGAACCATCTGAATCACCCAAACTGAAGCGTCTTAGTCAACTGAACGACCTGAAGCACCTGAACCACCTGCCTGGTCTGAGCGCGACTGACCTGTTGAGGCGAGAGAGCGAGGGCTCCAAGAGGGGAGAGGCGGACCGATCCCGAAGCAACTGAGGGGGGTTGGGGAACCCCAGGAGAGGTGCTGCCAGCGGGTTCCGGAGCTGTAGCAGCAGGCGCAACTTCTTTAGCAGGGGCATGAGCGGCCTCTCTAGGAGGAGCGCAATCGCTAAAATACTTGGAGCAAAGGGGGACTTCCATGTGTGCCACGTCAGCATCCAGCGGGCCAATGGCAGGCGACGTCAGCAACATGAACCCAGAAAAACACTCTGTGCTGCACGCCCCGTTATAAGCATCTCCACTAACGGAAATCGAGGTGGAGGAGAAGAAACGAAGAGAATAGGCATGGAAAGGACCGACACTGGGACATGCCGGGGTGGTAGGTTTGGCTGCCGCTGATGGTTCATCTGTTGCTGCCGCTGATGGTTCATCTGTTGCTGCTGCTGATGGCGGTTCTGTCCGTGGTGAATCATCTACTGACAGTGCTGGTGTGGCTGGTTTAATGGATTTCTGAGACGTCTCAAATGTACTGGGACATGCAGGGGTGGTAGGGGTGGCTGTTGCTGATGGTTCATCTGTTGCTGCTGCTGATGGCGGTTCTGTCCGTGGTGAATCATCTACTGACAGTGCTGGTGTGGCTGGCGGAATGGATTTCTGAGACGTCTCAAATGTACTGGGACATGCAGGGGTGGTAGGGGTGGCTGCTGCTGATGGTTCATCTGTTGCCCTTGCTGATGGTGCTTCTGTCCGTGGTGAATCATCTACTGACAGTGCTGGTGTGGCTGACGGAATGGATTTCTGAGACGTCTCAAATGTACTGGGACATGCTGGGGTGGTAGGTGTGGCTGTTGCTGATGGTTCATCTGTTGCTGCTGCTGATGGCGCTGCTGTTTGTGGTGAATCATCTGCTGATGGTGCTGCTGCTCCTGCCGTTGGGGTGGTTACTGGTGCTAACATGGCAGCTGGTGTTGCTGTCCGCTATGTGGAGACAAAGATTCACGAATTCACGAATTGAGAATGGGTGCTGATGCTGACAGGCTGAATCCGGCTCAATGACAATGCGACTTCGCAAGCTAGAAGGCTAGAAGAATTCAAATCATCACTTAACCGCGATCGGCAGAAAAGGCGTAACTTTGCTTTGTCTTATGATCAGCTGCAAGTGCGTTCACTTGAAAGCCCAGTCGGCTTCCTGGTAGCTTTCCGTGGGTTAGCGTAGGCTCACAACCACGTGGCTTCAATCGACTGCGTATCCAATCGCGCGTGCTCTTATTCGCTGCAGAATATTCCACTTGACGCGAAGCAGCGGCAACGACGGACGATTATGACGGAGGTTGAGCATGAACTTGTGTTTCGCAGTAAAATACTGCTTCTGGAATCAGTGAAAAGTGGGGTGATGGTTCAAAGCACCGTAGGGGACGCAGAAATTCATTCCCGTGGTGATGGAGATATCGAGGTTTCTGGCGCTTGGGGATTCATGATCGGGCACAGCGGTCGCACAAACTCCGTTACGGATAACCGCGATTACATATACTAGACTGTAGAGTCTAATTATGTAAACGACGAAACTCTTACATTCATTAAACCCTAGACGGAAAAGGCGTTGTGAGCTTCACTCCAAATTGGTATGCCGTACACGCATGGACTCTTTTGTTTCGCCCAGATTATCCCGCAAGAGACGCACTACCACTTCGCCCAAAACAAACAACGCTCCCTCATAAACACTCCCCATGGGTAGCACCCCATCGTCCTCAATCTCAACCCTATCCCTTCCTTCACCAGAAACGAGATCATCTGCCATTGTCTGTGCAGGAATGTAGACCACACGATCTGCCAGCCTGGCACAATCGCCCGACGGCTGTGCAGTGATGACTGCAGTCCTGGCCCCTGTAGATCTAGCCTCCCTCAGAAGAGCCTCTACAGTGGAAAAGCGGCCAGGGCCGGCGCTGACAAGGAGGAGATCTCCTGGACCAATGGGAGGGCAGGACATGTCACCGACGACGGATGCCTGCAAGCCTAGGTGGTACAGACGCATGGCCAGAGCTCGCATCATGAGACCCTCTCTGTTCGGGAGGGAAGGAGGGAGGAGGAGGCGGGTGTGGGCAGAGTGAGAGATGTAGAATGATACTTAGACAATGTGCTAGCTTCTGTTAGGTGGTACAGGCGCATCGCTAAGGCGTGCATGATGAGACCCTTCTGCTCCGGCGGAAAGAAAGAGAGGTGGGTGTGGGGGGGGGAAAGGGAGGGAGAGGGAGGGGGGAGAGCGAAAAAAAAGAAAGATTGGGAATGATACCTTTGTCAATGTGCCAGCCTTTGTCACATTCATGTATGTGTGGTAAAAAACAGGAGCCTATGAGAAAAAGGCGGTTTGAAATTAATTGAAGAGTGGAGATATAGGGAGTCCGAGTGAGCGAGGGCTTACCGTCCGACTCCATAGAGAGCAATCTTTCCGTCTTTTGCGGAAACAATTTCCTTCACTAGCGTCTCAAAAGGGTCACCCTTCGCGGCATCGTCAGTCGCGCCGGCCGCACTGGCGGAATCAGATGCTGCTGCGTGTGCGATTCTGTCAAACACGGCGCGAATCTCCTCGATCGCGCGATGTGCCAAGTCGGAGTTGCTAACTTCGTTCGCCTGACCAGCCTTAACTATAGTGTGGAAACTGGATAAGGGAAGAGAACGCTGGGTAGCGGGAATATGTCTGACTTTCCTGGTCGAGATAGGGCAGTGTACAGAGCTGACTCTATCAATCACGGGTCCGCGGAGCTGAAGCGGACTGGATAGCGATGTAATGCAGCCATTAGCCATGGCGCGCACGAAAAGAAGCTGTAGGATGATGGACCACGGTCAGGAACTTACAAGGATTTTTGGGAGGCATCTCTGCCAGATTCAGGTCCACCCTGTAGAGGTCCCCGTTTCTTGTGTTTTAAAGTTTTTCCCATTCTCTTTCTTTTCTGGTGTAAAATAAGCCAAGTCGAGTGTAGAGAACTAGCTGCATTGAAGAATACCTGACAGGCTTCAAGCTAGTCATTTCGCGGCTCGATTTCCCGCCAATTGCTTGGTATGGTTTGCAAGGTTTGGGCGGTGCGGGTCTGTGATGTTCCCCAAACGGCACAATGGAAGCCCCTCCACCACACCACTTCCCCCCACCTCTTCCCATCTATCTCCCCAATCTCGCACCATATTCAAACTCATACAAACGTATCCCACCTTTTATCAAACCTTTTTATCCCATCCATCCCATCCCACCCTGTTCCCACAGCTACCCCACTTCACTTCCATGCCTTCTCCCTCTTCCTCTGCCCTCCCTCGCCCTCGAGATTTTCGCTCTCGGTTCGGAGGATCCCTGTTTTCGGTTCGGTCGAGCGGTTTTCCCATTTCTCTCACCTCGATTGGTGTCATTGACCCACCCAGAGTCTGGGGCCACCATTGTTCTTTGCGTCCATGTTCTGGAGTTTAGAAGCAGG